AGCAAGAGTTCTTAACTCTTTTACAATGAGAAATGTCTAATGAATCACACACTGTATATATATATATATATATATATATATATATATATATATATATATATATATATATATATATATATATATATATATATATATATATATATATATATACATATAATTCTAACACGAATCTTAATATTTCTTACGTTCTTCTCCACTGTCGAGGGTAATTGATAAATTAACTCTCCAAAATTCATTCTTTCTAGTCTGACGCCTGAACGCGTTTCGCAATGCTTATTACATTTTCAAAGACTTAATTTACACAGACAAAACTGTAAACTATGTTTTATGTGTGTAAAGTATATATTCGAATGCCGGGATTTTATTATATATATTCATGAATGCAATTGCAGAAATAATCACACAAAAAACACCTGTGATTTCAGAGATACATAACTATCCAAACAGGAAAAAAACACCTGAGATGAAAAATCGAAACATTTTCGTGTTTGAATGCGCATACACACGACTTTAAACCTAACACCGGTGTGTGATATATCCAAAACAAACACCTAAACACCTGCCTTCAACATACAGGTGTTTTTAAGTTCAAGGAAGGCTTTAATTAAGCCCGTGGAGACTGGTTCACCTCACAGGATTAAGAAAGTAGCAAAATACCACGAAAAACACACACGAAAAAGCCTGAAGCAGGAATTGTTTGGAGGTGGTGCTCAGTTGATTGAGTTTGTGTGTTTTTCTGGTAATATATAAAACACGTGAGAGAGAGAGAGAGAGAGAGAGAGAGAGAGAGAGAGAGAGAGAGAGAGAGAGAGAGAGAGAGAGAGAGAGAGAGAGAGAGAGAGAGAGAGAGAGAGAGAGAGAGAGAGAGAGAGAGAGAGAGAGAGAGAGAGGAGAGAGAGAGAGAGAGACGAGAGAGAGAAGACAGAGAGAGAGACAGAGAGAGAGACAGAGAGAGAGACAGAGAGAGAGAGAGAGACAGACAGAGAGAGAGATAGAGAGAGACAGAGACAGAGACAGAGAGAGAGACAGAGACAGAGAGAGAGACAGAGAGAGAGACAGAGAGACAGAGAGAGACACAGAGACAGAGACAGAGAGACAGACAGAGAGACACAGAGACAGAGAGACGCAGAGACACAGAGACAGAGAGACAGAGAGAGAGACAGACAGAGACAAAGAGAGAGACAGAGCCCCTTCTCGTCATATAAGATTAAATATATATGATATAAGATAAAAATTTAACGTGATTATGGTAACCCAAATACCAAAAATGTATCAAACATTTGCGTGTTTACTTACGAAGCCTGTGCATCCCTCCTCGATCATGTTAACTTTAGCAAGTATTAGATGCTAAAGCTATGATGATGATGATGCTATGGAGACAGTTCAACACCTTTGAACAAAATACAATGTTCAAAGGCCTTGAATATTGTATTTTGTAGTTTAAATGTTAATGTAGATTTTAGTTTAATTTTTTTGATGTAGTTTAATTTTTTTTGACAACCTCATGGCATCCAAACTCACAATCTCTTTTTAGAAAATTTAAACGAAGTAGTTATGATTGAGAAAAGATGTAAAGGTTCCGTAGAGGACAATTTAGTACTTTATGAAACCTATAGCCCCCTAGTCTTCAAAAAGACGAATTGCAATGCTTCTTGCATGATTTTATTACAGAAAAGGCATAGCAAGGCTGTTGCAAAGGAGAAAGCGCCAAGCCATAAGCCCAACCACTTGTGGACGGTCGGGGATTGAACGCCGACCTGCATGAAGCGAAACCGTCGCTCTATCCCATACGTATACACGATCTAGCCAGCAAGGAAATAATGGGATAGAGGGAGACTGAGATAGAGAGAAAGGGAAGAAGATAGTGGGAATTGAACACAGACCCGTACACCACCGGTTAAAAAAAATAACAGCGGTTTTAAAATTTATTTTATGTAATAAATTAACACATAATATTTATTTTGAGAAATATTTCTGTTATACTTTACCTTGAGGTTATCTTGAGATAATTTCGGGGCTTAGCGTCACCGCGGCCCGGTCCTCGACCAGACCTCCTGGTTGCTGGACTGGTCAACCAGGCTGTTGGACACAGCTGCTCGCAGCCTGACGTATGAGCCACAGACTGGTTGATCAGGTATTAAATAAGAAACATTCCTCAGAAATTTATAAAATATCTTTCAATTAATTTGAAATATATTTACTAAACATTTTTAAAAAATTCATATATAAAAATTTCTCACAAATATGAAAAATATCTCAGACTTGTTTGGAAATAATTCTCACATATGAGAAATATTTTAATATTTGACATATATATATTTCAACTTAACTGAATATTCGGTTTCTCGCTTAACCGAATATTCTGTTTCCTCGCTTAACCGAATATTCGATTTCCTCGCTTAACTGAATATTCTGTTTCCTCGCTTAACCGAATATTCGATTTCCTCGCTTAACCGAATATTCTGTTTCCTCGCTTAACCGAATATTCTGTTTTCTCGCTTAACCGAATATTCTGTTTCCTCGCTTAACCGAATATTCGATTTCCTCGCTTAACCGAATATTCTGTTTCCTCGCTTAACCGAATATTTTCTTTCCTCGCTTAACCGAATATTCTCTTTCCTCGCTTAACCGAATATTCGGTTTCTCGCTTAACCGAATATTCTGTTTCCTCGCTTAACTGAATATTCTCTTTCCTCGCTTAACCGAATATTCTGTTTTCTCGCTTAACCGAATATTCTGTTTTCTCGCTTAACCGAATATCCCGTTTTTTCGCTTAATCGAATATTCGGTTTCCTCGCTTATCCGAATATCCTGTTTCCTCGCTTATCCGAATATTCGGTTCCTCGCTTAACCGAAGTTAACTTTGTTCACTCTCACCCACCGAACTTTGTCTCAGTTTTTTCAACCCCAGTGAACCGGATTTCCGACCGCCAGGCAATTATCCGGACCGAAATAAAACTCGGTTTATTATGGTTTCACGTTGTCGGAGACAATATGCCAGCCACAACAGCTCTCTGACTCACCGGTACCTAGTTACTGCGCGGTGAACAGCTGCATCAGGTGTAAGATAAGTTGGATAGGAAGGACCTCGTTAGTCCTAATATGCTTCCTGAGGTTATCTTGAGATGATTTCGGGGCTTAGCGTCCCTGCGGCCCGGTCCTCGACCAGGCCTCCACCCCCCAGGAAGCAGCCCGTGACAGCTGACTAACTCCCAGGTACCTGTTTACTGCTAGGTAAACAATAGCATAAGTGCTTGCGTAACTGCTTCGTGAATCTGGCCCAAGGTTCGTAAGTGCTTGCGTAACTGCTTCGTGAATCTGGCCCCAGGTTCGTAAGTTCTTGCTTAACTGCTGAATCTAGCCCCAGGTTCGTAAGTGCTTGCCTAACTGCTTCGTGAATCTAGCCCCCAGGTTTGTAAGTGCTTGCCTAACTGCTTCGTGAATCTAGCCCCCAGGTTTGTAAGTGCTTGCCTAACTGCTTCGTGAATCTAGCCCCCAGGTTTGTAAGTGCTTGCCTAACTGCTTCGTGAATCTAGCCCCCAGGTTCGTAAGTGCTTGCGTAACTGCTTCGTGAATCTAGCCCCCAGGTTCGTAAGTCCTTGCTTAACTGCTGAATCTAGCCCCAGGTTCGTAAGTGCTTGCCTAACTGCTTCGTGAATCTAGCCCCCAGGTTCGTAAGTGCTTGCCTAACTGCTTCGTGAATCTAGCCCCCAGGTTCGTAAGTGCTTGCGTAACTGCTTCGTGAATCTAGCCCCCAGGTTCGTAAGTCCTTGCTTAACTGCTAAATCTAGCCTCCAGGGGGCCAGGGGAGTCAAACCATGGACCCGAAATATGAGAAAAACCGAAGCTCTATCGACTGTGCTATTGAGTAGCCTTAATAAGGAAATATATATATATATATATATATATATATATATATATATATATATATATATATATATATATATATATATATATATATATATTTATATATATACCCTAAACGATGAATTTAAAGTCGTGGCTACTGTCGGATGGGATTAAATATTCTTATGGGAATGTCTTTCACAAAAATCTATTGTCCTTTGTATCTTAACTTGTGTAGTTGAGAGCGTCGAGTGGCATTGTTCCACGCGCTGGTCTGACACTTTGCTGCGGACTTTTAACGTCAGTTCTGCTAGTTGTTGGACGGTGTGGTAGTTAGCGAGGCCATTTTGGACAAGTTAATAACTCTGACGTATTTCCATGGTTAGATGACCTGTCATTATGACTTCTGTAGAGTCTTTTGGTTAGTGTGTGGGGGGGGGGGGGTTATTACTTGAGAGGTTTTGTCTGTTTCTCTTTCTCTTTCTGGGTCTGTCCGTCTCTCTCTCTCATTCACTCACTCTCTGTGGCTCTCTCTCTCTCTGGGTCTCTCTCTCTCTCTGGCTCTCTCTCTCTCTCTGGCTCTCTCTGGCTCTCTGGCTTGCTTGCTCTCTCTCTCTGTCTCTCTCTGGCTCTCTGGCTTGCTGCTCTCTCTCTCTCACTCACTCACTCTCTCTGGCTCTCTCTCTGGCTTGCTTGCTCTCTCTCTCTCTGGCTCTCTCTCTCTCACTCACTCACTCTCTCTGGCTCTCTCTCTGGCTTGCTTGCTCTCTCTCTGGCTTGCTTGCTCTCTCTCTCTCTCTCTCTCTTTAATTTTCTCTTATAAACTAAAAAAACATATATAAATTCTTTCTACATCTCATATTAATCAGGCTCCCATATATATATTATTTTCCTTACGCGAACCAATTGAATATGTATTTTGAACATGTATAAAACATGTCCCAGACCAGAATTCTATGAATTATTAAAATTAATCAAACGAAAAGCTCCCCCAAATCCTTAATTATTTAGTGGATGGGAAAAGGTTCTTACAGTACGAGGCAATCAGCTCTAGTACGCTGTTAATTGTGTTGAGTGATTGCTAAAATTAAACTTGTTAAATTCCACAATTAGTTCGAATTAAAATTTTAAGTTTGGGGAATGATACGGAACTAATGAGGTGTATACCAGCTGTGAGCAGTATTCCAGCTGTCAGCAGACCTATACCAGCTGTGAGCAGACCTATACCATCTGTGAGCAGACCTATACCAGCTCTGAGCAGACCTATACCAGCTCTGAGCAGACCTATACCAGCTCTGAGCAGACCTATACCAGCTCTGAGCAGACCTATACCATCTGTGAGCATACCTATACCAGCTCTGAGCAGACCTATACCAGCTGTGAGCAGACCTATACCATCTGTGAGCAGACCTATACCAGCTCTGAGCAGACCTATACCAGCTCTGAGCGGACCTATACCAGCTCTGAGCATACCTATACCAGCTCTGAGCAGACCTATACCAGCTCTGAGCAGACCTATACCAGCTCTGAGCAGACCTATACCAGCTCTGAGCAGTATACCAGATCTGAGCAGACCTATACCAGCTCTGAGCAGACCTATACCAGCTCTGAGCAGACCTATACCAGCTCTGAGCAGACCTATACCAGCTCTGAGCAGACCTATACCAGCTCTGAGCAGACCTATACCAGCTCTGAGCAGACCTATACCAGCTCTGAGCAGACCTATACCATCTGTGAGCAGACCTATACCAGCTGTGTGCAGACCTATCCCAGCTCTGAGCAGACCTATACCAGCTGTCAGCAGACCTATACCAGCTGTCAGCAGACCTATACCAGCTGTGAGCAGACCTATACCAGCTCTGAGCATACCTATACCAGCTGTCAGCAGACCTATACCAGCTGTCAGCAGACCTATACCAGCTCTGAGCAGACCTATACCAGCTGTCAGCAGACCTATACCAGCTGTCAGCAGACCTATACCAGCTCTGAGCAGACCTATACCAGCTCTGAGCCCTGGAAACACAAACCGTAACTGTCTCTATTATCCGCTTGTTCCATCTTGTAATAAAGTTGTTACATCTTGGCTTAACGTGTTTTTGACGTATTAGAACGTTGTTACAACTTAATATATTGGTTGTTATAACTGGTTAGGAGGTGTTAAAACTTGGTCGAACGTTGTACCAACGTCGTAGTTTCGGTGTGTGTTTGGCGGGAGCATATCTATGCCAGCTGTCAGCAGACCTATACCAGCTGTCAGCAGACCTATACCAGCTGTCAGCAGACCTATACCAGCTGTCAGCAGACCTATACCAGCTGTCAGCAGACCTATACCAGCTGTCAGCAGACCTATACCAGCTCTGAGCAGACCTATACCAGCTGTCAGCAGACCTATACCAGCTGTCAGCAGACCTATACCAGCTCTGAGCAGACCTATACCAGCTCTGAGCAGACCTATACCAGCTGTGAGCAGACCTATACCAGCTCTGAGCTGACCTATACCAGCTGTCAGCAGACCTATACCAGCTCTGAGCAGACCTATACCAGCTGTCAGCAGACCTATACCAGCTGTCAGCAGACCTATACCAGCTCTGAGCAGACCTATACCAGCTGTCAGCAGACCTATACCAGCTCTGAGCAGACCTATACCAGCTGTCAGCAGACCTATATATATATTGCTCTTCAATTTGCAACTGATTTCAACTTTCATACCACTATTTTTCAACCCTCATTCAACTCCTTCATTCAATCAAACTCTTTCTATACCAAAATCTAACATTGATACGACGATAAACTAACGTTCTTGCAAAATTAAATTAACATTGACACTTAGCAACTTCATATTGAAAAAAGTCTGAACTTTTCACGTGAAAATTCCCACTTTAATCTCTTGATAGACTACGATAACAACCACTTAACTACCACTTAACTACCACTGAAGCCCAAGGGGGGTGGGGGAGCCACTTTAGGGCCACTTTAACAATCAAATTAAGCACCTAACACACTTTTTATGACTCAATCTTGTAAGGCTTTACTTTCATTAAGTCCCCTCCCCCCGGGAACTTAATTAAGTTCCTTAAGTAAGAAGCAATAAGATAAGCATCTTATTGCTTCTTATTTACAATTATTACTTAACCTATACCTATAATAGGTTAAGTAATAATTGTAATTACGAAGCAATAAGATGCTTATCTTAACATACTAAGAAGGTTAGGTGAGGTCGGTGTTTTCTATGAAGCTTTTCAAGGTAAACTAAAATATTCACAACCAATTAGTATGTCACATATGCACTTATTAAATAAGCCAATATTGACTATAAGCAAGTGCGAGAACGGGTTGATACATCATAATAAACTTTCGAATCACGAATTGCAAGGTTTTCAATTTTAAATAGTTGCAGAGTTTGAAAACTAGAAATCGCTGAATTTGCACGAAAACCTTCAGTATTAATATTACGGAAACGAGAGAGAGCTTCCTATCGCTCCGAAACACTTTCCAACGACCGAAACATGTGATTCAATTAAAATTCTGGCGTGCCAGCGTGTCTAATTATCCCCAAGCTCGAGCGGTCGAACGAAGGAAAAATATATTCTACGCTAAAGATGGGTTGTTTGCGCTTATTGGGAGGTCACCTTACCTTGAGGTTACCTTGAGGTGCTTCCGGGGCTTAGTGTCCCTGCGGCCCGGTCGTCGACTAGGCCTCCTGGTTGCTGGACTGATTAACCAGGCTGTTAGACGCGGCTGCTCGCAGCCTGACATATGAGTCACAGTCTGGTTGATCAGGTATCCTTTGGAGGTGCTTATCCAGTTCTTTCTTGAACACTGTGAGGGGTCGGCCAGTTATGCCCCTTACCGACCCCTCACAGTGTTCAAGAGAGAACTGGATAAGCACCTCCAAAGGATACCTGATCAACCAGGCTGTGACTCATACGTCAGGCTGCGAGCAGCCTGGGAGGGGTGATTGGTTTAAGATGTAGTTCTACGATGTAAGGTGGATCGTAAGATTGGTTGTAAGATCGTATGTGTGTGTTGAAGGGGGATGAGTTATCGTATGTGTGGGTAGTGAGGGTATCGTATGCAAATTGGATATCTCGTAGTGATCTAAAAGGAGTCTAATCGCAAGTTGGATTTACTTGTAAGACTGATATTTTCAGACGTAGAGAGCTTGTGGTCAAGTGGTAAGGTTTAAGCTGATTTTCACTATGTAAAATAAATGCAAATAAAGCAATTCTATGGATAAGTTTTTCACCAAATTCTACATGAGGTGTTTTCATCAGAGAAAAGTCTACAAGTGATGTTTTCCACCAGAAAAAGTCTACAAGTGACGTTTTCCACCAGAAAAAGTCTACAAGTGATGTTTTCCACCAGAGAAAAGTCTACAAGTGATGTTTTTCACCAGAAAAAGTCTACAAGTGATGTTTTCCACCAGAGAAAAGTCTACAAGTGATGTTTTCCACCAGAGAAAAGTCTACAAGTGATGTTTTCCACCAGAAAAAAGTCTACAAGTGACGTTTTTCACCAGAAAAAAGTCTACAAGTGATGTTTTCCACCAGAAAAAGTCTACAAGTGATGTTTTCCACCAGAAAAAAGTCTACAAGTGATGTTTTCCACCAGAAAAAAGTCTACAAGTGACGTTTTTCACCAGAAAAAAGTCTACAAGTGATGTTTTTCACTAGAGAAAAGTCTACAAGTGATGTTTTCCACCAGAAAAAAGTCTACAAGTGACGTTTTCCACCAGAAAAAGTCTACAAGTGATGTTTTCCACCAGAGAAAAGTCTACAAGTGATGTTTTTCACCAGAAAAAAGTCTACAAGTGATGTTTTCCACCAGAAAAAACATCAGAGGCTGTGTGCTTGAGGACGATTTTCCCGCGCTCGAATCCCATTGGTCGAAACAGTGTTGACATCGACCTAAACAGCCAATCAGATGCTAGTGGGGTCTGTCATTATAAATTCTGCCACTAGATGGAACCTCTCGTCAGATATTCACACAAATAGATTTATTTTTAATAGATACAACTTGCTTGTGCCTAAATATCGGCAGGAAATTGCACTATCGACAAGCCAACAGCAGATTATAAATCAGGGTTGTACTGGACGATATTTTCCCGCGCTCGTCATTCATTGGTCCAAATTCTGTGTTGACATTCCTCTCAACAGCCAATCACAAGAACATCAACTAATGGCTCCGCCCACTGAGTTCCATTTTGAACAGCAAACCAGGAAATGACTTGATATTTGAACATTATTCTTTGCAAAATGTTACTTTTTGGGGGTTTTGAACCAACTATAATCGAAAATTAACATATAATTATGATATAACTACGTACCAAGATGTATACCAGTTGTTATTCAAGTATATCTTGACTATTTTACCCATTTTTGGAGCTACACTATACGAGGAAGCTCCTATTTACATCCCCCAAACTCTCACACACACACATATACATGTCTATCCTACGCTTGAAACAATCAAGCAATCCCACGACCAATTTGTTGCCCGGTAATTAATTCCATAAATCATATACTCAATGTCCAATTCATTATTTACACAGGTCTTTTCTAAATCTAAAATTATCCAATTTCCATTGTTTCATGTTGTATTTTGTTGATATATGATATATACATCTTACTGATATACATTATACATTTTAATACATTTGTATATTCCACTTATCTCTTATGATAATATAAATTAAACTTATTGAACTCATCTTCAAAAAGGGAGATTTTAATTCTTGGATGAAATTTTCTCATTTTCTCTTTTTTCGTTACAATAAATTTATATTTATTTTATATGTGAGAGAAAACGTAAAGTTGAATATGTAAATAGTTCTTAACAGAAGCAAGATAAAGATCTTATCAGATGTTAGGTTAGTGTTGGGCTTAAGGCCTGTCAACCTCTGGAGGGGTTATTAAGGCCACTGCAATAGCTAATTGACCAACCAGCTTGTTTGATGTTGGGATTAAAAGCTATCAACCTCTGGAGATGTTTTAAACCTCATCTCCTGCCTCTGGTAAAACAACATGGCATCAGCCTCCACCACATCACTTCCTAGTTCATTCCACTTACTAACTACTCTGATAGTTGAAAAGTTCTTTCTAAAGTCTCTGTGGCTCATTTGGGTACTCAGTTTCCACCTGTGTCCCCTTGTTCG